ACTTCCCATCCAGCTCCCTGCTAATGACCTGGGAAAGCAGCAGAAGATGGCCTAAGTCTCTGGGCCCCTGCACCTACATGGGAGACCCAGATGAAACTCCTGGCTCCTGGCTTTCCTGGCTGTTGTGGCTTTCCATTTGGGGGAGTGAACCAGTGGATAGAAGATCTTTCTGTCTCTCTTTGTCTCTCTATAACTCTGCCTTTCAAATAAATAAGTAAGTAAAAATCAATCTTTTTTAATAAAAGAGAAAAAAAAAAGAAATTCTGTCATTCGTGTCAATATGAATGGAACCAGAACTTTAGAACATTATGTCAAGTGAAATAAGCCAAGCAAAGACTAGCACCACATAGTCTCACTTACTCGTGGAATTCCAAACAGTGGAATCCATAGAAGTAGAGAGTAGAAGGGCGGGGGAAGGAGGGGAGGTGCACAGAGGCTGGGGTTGGAAGGAATGGGGAGATGATGGTCAAAGAATATAAAATCTCAGTTAGGAAAAATAAGGGGATTTTTAAAAATATTTCACATAGTGTGGTGAATATAATTACTTATAGCATATCATACATTGCAAAATTGCTAAGTGTGAATTTCAAATGTCTTCATCACAAAAAATGGCAAGTGTCTGAGGTGATGGACATGTTAAATAGCTCAAATTAATTATTTCACATTGTATTCATAAATAATAACATCATTTTCCACCCCATACATAATTATAAATTATTGATTTATAATAAAATTTTAAAATGTCAATGAATAGCAGCCATAGTCATAGGCAAATTGAAAAGTAGATTGAGAATACCAGTTAATGGATATCTCTACTCACGCATTCAGAAGAAACATTTGAGAAGCATCATGTGTACATAAAGCTAATGCAACAGACTCTGCTGTAATCAACTTGTAATTATCCGTATCAGTATTTAGGAGCAGGGATGGCAGTTTAGCCTATCAGTTAAGATGCCTGCATCCCACTCCATCGCGCCAGGGTTCTGGATGCTGGACTCCAGCTCCAGACTCCAGCTTCCTGCTAATGCAGACCCTGGGAAACAAAAGCAATGGCTCAAGTGATTGAGTACCTGCCATCCTAGTGGGAGACCAGATTGAGTTCCTGGCTCTCAGCTTCAGTCTGGTCAATTTCTGGCAGTTGGAGGCATTGGGGAAGAGAACCAGCAGAAGGAAGCGTGCTTTCATGTGCACTCTTGCTCTCTCTACCTCTCAAATAAATAACTAAATCGTGGGTTTGTTTTGTTTTTGTTTGTTTGTTTGTTTGTTTTACAGGCAGAGTGGACAGTCAGAGAGAGAGACAGAAAGGTCTTCCTTTTTACCGTTGGTTCACCCTCCAATGGCCGCCGCAGCTGGCATGCTGTGGCAGGCGCACCGCGCTGATCCGAAGCCAGGAGCCAGGTGCTTCTCCTGGTCTCCCATGTGGGTGCAGGGCCCAAGCACTTGGGCCATCCTCCACTGCACTCCCTGGCCACAGCAGAGAGCTGGTCTGGAAGAGGGGCAACCGGGACAGAATCCGGCGCCCCGACTGGGACTAGAACCCAGTGTGCTGGTGCCGCAAGGCGGAGGATTAGCCTATAGAGCCACGGCGCCGGCCACTAAATCGTTTTTAAAAGATATTTAGGAGGCCAGTGCTGTGTGTAGCAGGTAAAGTCGCCGCCTGCAGTGCCAGCATCCTTTGTGGGTGCCAATTTGAGTCCTGGTTGCTCCTCCTCCAATCCAGCTCTCTGCTGTGGCCTGGAAAAGCAGTAGAAGATGGCCCAAGTCCTTGGGCCCCTGCACCCACATGGGAGACTGGGAGGAGGCTCCTGGCTCCTGGCTTCGGATCAGCGCAGCTCCAGCAGTTGCGGCCAATTGGGGAGTGAACCAGCGGATGGAAGACCTCTCTCTCTCTCTGCCTCTCCTTCTCTCTCTTTGTAACTCTGACTTTCAAGTAAAATAAATAAATCTTTTTTAAAAAAAGATATTTAGGATCAGTGGACAGTAAATATCCAAGATTAATTCAGTTCAACGAGGAATTATTGAGTATCTCGTATTTGACTCACAAATGAAGTTAATAAAAAATAAATTCTCTATGGTTTCTGATTTCAAGAAATTCATGCTTAACTTCAGAACATGACCTCAAACTTCCACCTAGAGTTACATACAACCTGATGCTCAGAGAATCTGAGCCCTTGGCGTGTGATTTCACTATTTTCCGGATACCTAACTTCTTACCATATGCTTGCCTCCTCCTTGCTCCCCAGTTTCATGCTGGAAGTGGACAACTTCATGGATCAGGATCTTGCATAACGTCAGTCTACACTTGATTGACCACTTCCTTCAGGTTACAGGTCAGGCTGTTCATAGAGCTACCTCAAAAGAGAGTGGATAAGATAAAGTGCATTTTTAATAGAGCTTCCCTTAAAATTGAGCCTCATTAAAGCTAAAGGAAAAACTCAAATATCTTTCCTTCCATGTCCTTTTTGCTGGGTTATGGTCTACATGTAGAACAAGCCAAAAGGTAGTGCTACTGATCATCTCAAGTAAGCTAAATAACTGCCTGTGTAACTGTCCCCCCAGATTTGGAAATAAGACATATGGGAGAACAATACAGATAAGTTTTTTAAAATTGCCCTGATACAGATTAATAATGGAGCCAGTGGGCTCAGAGGCCCTTTGTAGGTCAGAAAATCATCAAGAAAAGGAGATTCTTCCAAACTGTTACTCATTCCAAGGATAATTCTGACTTATTCTTGAATTTCCATTTCATTGTGATGTTTGGCCCCAAGAGATGCCTTCCTTTGGGCATGGTGCCTACATGGTCGCATGCTCCTGGATCCTGACTGGTGGATTTTCAGAGTCTGATGTAGAAATGTCACTAGTAGTAGTAACACTTGCCCCGGATACCCAATGTCATGAAAAATTACTCATGTAACACAAATGATGTGAAGAGAAATAGGCTGGAAATATTCACTTCCTCTCCTCCATCCCTGCTCTCCCAAAACCAAGCCCCTTGGCCACACGCACGTTCTGCTTCGGAGAACCAGACACCCAGCACAGTGGGGACTGTTTTGATCTACTCCTACAAGAGATCAATTTGCAAAATCAACAAGGCTAGTGTAATGATACTGACATGATACTAATGATACTGACATGGTACTGAGAGCTAAGGGACATTAATTTGATGAGAAATAAAACACTCCAGCACAGAAAAATCTCTACAAATCTTTATTGAAAATGTTTCTATCTTAGCAGAATAATCCAGGAAGGAATCTAGATGGACTACTACAACCAAGACATTTATCCCAAGAAGGAAAAAATACCATTTCAATCTTAGCAAATACATAAAGTACTTTGTCTTCACTCATTTTTGCCATTTTAACTCCTTTGCGAGGGTTGCTTCTGCATTTTCTCAAATCCTTGAATAATTAGCTGGAAAATCTTACAGAGTTGCTTTTACTGGAAACCAAGGCTTTTAACCAAACAGGACCAAGATACCCCACCCCAACTTTGCACACTCACCATCAATACCAACAAAAGTATAAATTTATCACCTAAAATGCTGCCTTAAGCTTTTAAATGTAAATATTAAGTCTGAATAAAAGTATTCAAAATATACCAGAGGACTTCAACAAGTTTATGGAAAATGCAATTAAAACATAAGTTTATTTTGGTGCAAAAAATTTTTCAACCCATGCAGTTTTTCATAATATGCATTTTCCATGAACTTTTTGAAGATTCCACTATATGTGGATTTCTGGCTTTTTTGCAACAAAATACATTTATTTTTAATTCCATTTTTATGAATTTTTTGAAGTGCCATCCTATGTACTAGGTTTTAGGCAGTTACTGAGAAATTTGTGTCAAAACAATCCCAAAGTAGAAAAAAAAATCCAATAAGGCAACTTTTTACAGAGTTTTTAGTTGTTCTTCTTATTATTTATTTTCATTTTACTTAGAAGACAAAGAGAGAGAAACAGAGAGAGAGAGAGAAATCATCTATCCATCTATCCACTGTTACACTTCCCAAATGCCTACAACAACCAAGGTTGGGCCAGGACAAAGCCAGGAGCCTAGAAATCAGTCTGGGTCTCCCACATGGCTGGAACCCAAGTACCTGAGCTATTATCTGCTGCCTCCCAGGAAGCTGGATCAGAAGAGAAACCAGGTCTCAAATCAAGCACTCCTATGTGGGATGTGAGCCTCACAAGCAGTGACTGAACTACTGCACCAAATGCCTGCCCCCAAAGTTTTTTAGTTTAAAATCCAAAGGAAATGTGTCCAGAAAACTGTCATTTCCCAGCAAAGTCCCTTACTTCTTCTACATGGGTTCCACCAATGAAAGTGTCTGCCCAACAGCGGCAATGGAGTCATCAGCAAACATGCCATGCTCGGGGCTAAGCACCCTCAGTAACAGCTACACTGGATCCCCCGCAAATTCACTATTTCTCCAGCAAAGAAAAATAACTACAAGTCAACTTGTAGGTACTTGCAAGGACCTCTGACCGAGGGTATAATTGCCCCTAGAAGGGATGGGGCTTGAAGGGAAGAGACCTTGGCTTCACATAATTGTGGCTTGTAGGTGATTTGAGACATACAAGAAGCCCATAGAGCAGCACCGAGCAAGGACTCTGTCTCTGTCAGACTTCAGTGGGTCCTGATCTACACCCAGCATAGCCAAGGGTCTGGACTTGGGACAGAAATGACCAAGCCCATCATTCGTCCTGGTCATCACAGCCCAGCTGACCTTGCATGTGTCCTCAAAGAGAACAGCACTACCTCTCACACCAATATTTTTCTTAAGTTTATTGTCGTCTTAATAACTAAGTAACCCAGAGATAACTCATGCCTTGGCCTTCCTCCTTTCCCCATAAAACCCCAGCTTCCCCCTACACCCACATCTGCAACAAAAGACACACCTGTGCATGTCCCCCTCCCTCTTCTGCCCCCTCTCCTGTCACTGACTCATCCCTACCCACCCTAATTTCCTTAACCCCCCCACCCACCCACCCATTGCTACACTCAGCCCCAGGTCTCAAGACTTTGCTGCCTAGGCTATCAATCTGGCCAAAGCTAAGAATAACAAACAAAGGAGTAACTGTGGGAACCAAGGACTCAAGGACTCTGGCAGCAGGTCTGCTCTTGGCTGCCTCTCTCACGAAGTGACAGCAGGGCTGGACTTCCCACAGGGCACCTCGCTCATGTCAGAACGACAGAGGGTGTAACCAGCCCAGCGATGGGTCAGCAGCGGCCACTGGAAGTGGAAGTGCCTGGACCACAGACTCAGCAACATCTGGCAAAATATACATATATATATACATAGATAAATCTCTGAAATCCCTAGAATTCCCTGCCCAAAAGGAACAGAGTGGAAAAAGAAAGGAGAAAGAAAGAGAGAGGCAGGAAGGAAGATCTACAGTTCTAGTTTTAGACAGCAAGTGTAGTTGTGACATGATTACTCCAAACAGATATGAGTCTGGGGCTCAATCCTTGTAAATCCTGAGTACAGGGAATAGGACTCCCAGGCAGGAGCCAGCCCTAGAAGCCTTCCACAGAGAGTGTGTGGTTGAGCGCATAGCTGTCGTTATCCTCTTCTTCCAAAAGAAGCTTGTCGATGGCCAGGGAATTCATGGCTCTCCTAGGGTCTTCCATGTCCGGAAGGACTGGCTCTGGGATGGAGATGGGGAGCTGGACGAACTGGGGACCAGGCAAGGCTGGGGCTGGAGGCTGGTACTGTAGGGTAGAGGTGGGCAGCGTGGATAGGGGCTGAGGCCACGGGAAATAGGTGAGGGGCGCCTGGTGCTCTGGGGCCTCCAGCTGGGGGCCTCCCGTGGGCGTGGCAGCACTTCTGGTCTGTAATGGGAAACGCAGGACCAAAGGTTAGTAGCCCTGAAATATCAACCAGCCCTTCCTCACCGTCAGGGGGCATCTTCATTTCTCCCCAACCAACTCTGCCTTTCCCTGGCTTCTCACTGCAGGAGCTCCACCCACTCCTACTCAAACACAGAGACAAATAGCAATGAAGACCTGTGGTTAAGCAAATTAGAGAGGATTCACTATAAAATGCATCTTGATTTTAGAGGTCTTCCAATGGAAAAACACATGCATCTTAAAATCTATGAAAATGCAACCCGTTAAACAATCAGCCTATGGTAGCCTAGGAGCTGTATCTAGAAGGTGGTTGCTCTCCTGCCCAGCCACAAAGACGATTCTGGCTTCACACAACTGTGTTGGCATCTGGAGTCCCTGTGGACCAACACAGTTCTGTCACTTCCCACCCGCTTTGGGCGGTGACCAGCACAGGAAGATCCAGCCACAGGCCAGGCAAGGGAAGAACTGCTTTATCAGCAAACTTGGCCTTCCTACTTCCACCACCTGGTGCCTTCCACAGCTACATCCTCCTCTGTCTCGGACCTGCTCCCTACCTGCCTGGCTTCTTACTGTTCTTTCACAAGTGAGGGAAGCAGATGGAAGAGAAATTTCCCTGAATGCGGGGATGGGAGAGAGGAAAAGCCTCCCCCACCTCCCCTCCTCTCTGGTTGCCACAAAAATGTCTTGAGAGTAAACTCTCAAGAGTCATTTAGGGCATCCTGTTTGCCAACCTGCTGGGGATCTCCTTACAATACAGATCTGGCCCGGAAAGTCTGGGGTGGGGCCGGGGATTCTGCATATCTGCTCTGAGCTCAGGGATGCCCTATGGCTGGTCCAAGAACCACAATGTGAGTAGTGAGGAGCTAGGGTGTTTTTTCCATAGAATGATGGAGGAGGAAAGGGCCCCAGAGACCATCCAGCCTTGTAACACCCAGGAGATGCATGCATTGCACTGCCCCACAACCACCTCCTCTCCTCTGATGGAAGCCAGCGGCGCCCAGCCCCCCAGCGTCCTGAAACCAGATGAATATCTGGGGAATCTCTATTATGGCCAGTGTTTTAAAAATCCGAATGAAAATCCTACAGATTGGAATCATAAACCTGTACAGATCAACTGCAGCAGGTTTCTTTGCTCAGGGATAGAATTACATCAACCCGGCACCTTCACCGGTCTTATCTCTGCTGATCGAGCACTGGCTTTGATGAACTAACTTACAAAATGGCAAAACAAATAAATTACTTCTTAATGAATACAGTTTGTTTGATACACAGAACCTTTCAAAGCAGAAGGTGGGGATGATGAAAGGCAATCAATAATAAAAAGAATCTTTGGTAATGAAATGGCTGGGAACCCTTATGTTCTCCACCCCACATCCCCTGGCATGGAAATGAGTGGCCTGGGGGAAGTGTTGGATTCATTCCTTCCTAACCACCATCAGCCGGGCCTCACAGTTGGCTTTCTGGGTAGCCAGGTGGGCACGGGGAAGGAGGGCTCCTGGGGGCCGTGCCTGGAAGGTGCTTGGCACAGGCAGGTGCATTGGGGTGATGCTGGACCCTGGAGGGAAACAGAGGGGCCGTGGGGGAACCACAGCAAGCTCCGCCATGGAGGGCGGGCTCTGTGAGTACACACAAGGCCCCTGCTCCACTTTCCACGTTTCCCTGGAACTGGAGACGACCCTAACCACAGGCCTTTTCTCCCCTGAACTCCTGAAGGGTTCTCATTCCTTTGGTCAAACAGGTACCACTTACATAAAGCTGTTTCATTTCCCCTATCCTTGGGGGAAGGTTCTTCCTTTCCTGTCTGGCATTGCAAGGCAGCCCTAGGTTAACAGGGTTGTTAAGCAGACTTTGATACCATGCTAATAACTAACATTTATTGAGTGCTTTCTGTATGCCAGGAGCCATACTAAGATCTGCAGGCAGTAGCTCGTTTGATCCTAACAATGACCCACTTGTTAGTATTCGCGCTTTACAGATAAGGACGCTGAGGCTCAGAGAGGTTAAGTCACTAAGCTCAGGGTCACACAGCTAGTAAGTAAATGTTCTATACATTGAACCCAAGCAGGTGGCTGACTAAGAACTGGATTGGGACTGTGGGGCCTTTGAGGTAAGGGATAAGGATTTGAACACATGCACTCTGACACAGAACTCAAAAACAGTATCCTACAGGTGGGTTTGACTCCGTCAGAGCTACAGTTTTATGAAAAGTTGTATCACCTGTCATTTGATCTAGAAATTTTTTGGAATCCCCACTGTTAAGTGAACAATCACCCTGTAGGTTATCTGAGTATAAATGAAAGGTTTCAGGGGCCTGAGACCCCACACAGACCTCACTCAGCATCCCATTCATTAACAACTTTAGCTTGTAACCAGGTCTCCCTGCTCACTGGGCAGCTGGGGGGACTGAGGACAGAGAAGCAGCAAAAACCCTCCCCAGCTCAGGGGAGCATGAGACGCAATGAGAGAGGCTGTACGACGTCTTTGTGGAAGACGCTTTAGGTCAGAAGGAAGAAGAGCAGGCTACCTGGAGAGACAGGATGGGCTCAAACGACCCGGTTATCCTGGAAATCAATAGTAGGGAAGAGCAGCGGTCAGAAAGTCAGGCTCGGCTCTGAGATAGCATCCTCAGCCTGGGCGAGCGCAGCTCTGCTCTGCGTGACGTACCGTGACGTTAGTGATGAGTGGCGGAGAGGCGTAGGTCAGCACCGACGAGGGCCCCACAACCGTGTAACTGGGGCACACGGGCTGCACGTACATGTCAGTCGAGTAAGGGCAGCTGACAGCTTCATGCGACACGTACTCCGTGTAGGGCGTCCAGGGTGCCAGGGGCTGGAGGGTGGCCGGGGCAGGTTGGGAGAGCCAGCCGGCACACAGGGCCCCCTCCTCCGTCACTGTGGAAGCAGACACCTCCATGTCAAGGCAGGAAGGACCTGTGGGAGGCAGGAAATCAGAGAACTGCAGGTGCCACTGAGCCCAGCAGCCTTGAGGGAGCCAGGGCTTGGGGGAGCTCTTACCCACTGTGGTGTAGGTCGCCAGGGGCTGATGGGGCAGCACCACCTAGAGGGGAGAAGAGAAGACCAGGATGGGTGTTGGGCCATCTCCAATGGGCCCTAGGCAGGGGCTTGCCTAGAGGACCCCGGGGTAGGAGAGAACAGGGTAAGAATCTCCCTTGCTAGAGCAAAACACCCCACCCACATCCCAACCCTACATCAGCACCTACACTTGTGAGGGACTGGTGTCTGCATTTAGCAAGAAGGCTGTGCTCTCAGGGAACTGGCGTCTTCCTCCTCCCAGGGGAGGCCCCAGCTCACACCAGGGTGTGAGAGCCATTTGCTCACTGGCCTGGGCCTGGCCGAGCCAGCCGACGCCCCCATCCCTCATCCTACTTCAGGGAACCACCGACGCTCTCCCCTAGGTCTGTCTCTCTCCAGGAGCAGTCTCCGTGCAACTTGCTGTCTTCATGCTCCCAGTGAGCGAGGAAGGACAGCCCTGCCTGACCCCTCCGGCCCCCACCCCACCCCCCACCGCCCTGGCCACAGCAGCCCCCTCACCGCAGTAGGCGTGACAGCTGCCCCGCTGCTGGCGTGACCGCGCTTCCTCCTCAGCAGTTCTTTCACAGGCTCCTTCACGCGGACTCCCTGGTAGGGCCGAGGCGGGGCCGGGGCCTGCTCTGGAGCTGTGGCTGTGGAGAGCGACATCCCTGGAGCCCATGACGCTTCTCAGACAAAGCTCCCACGCCGAAGTGTCCATGTCCACCACGAGATCTGCCTGCCCGCCTCAGTTGTGTGCGATCACAGAGAAGCACACGAGACCTCCTAGAATCTCACTCCTGGCACTGTTGCTCCTCCTGCCCCCAAACCTTCTATGGCTCCCCTGGACCCAAACAACTAAGACCCAGCTCCTTAGGCTGGAATCGAAAGACGTGCACAACAGGATCCATTTTTTTCCAACCACTCTGCAGCCTAACTGCTACGTGAACCCTGACTCCGGCCAGCAGGTTGGCGTACACGTCACATGTTCTCTGCATGTCTCACCCCTTCATTGAGTTTTCCGTGGCTGGAATTACCCCCCGATTCTTCCTGATCCCAGGCGAGCACCACCCTCCTGATGGAACACTGCCTCCATACTCCCTAGCACACTTCCAGCTCTGTTCAGGGTGCGTCACAGCTGTGAGGTGAGGGACTCGGAGACTCAGCTCCTGCCCTTGCCGCTGCCCAGCTGTGTGATCCTGGGCCAGTTACCAGACCCCTCTGGGCCTGCGGTATGCAATTTCTTCAGCAAAAGAGCGCTGTGAGGAGCCACCTGACATAGCAAACAGGAAGTGCAGGACACTCTTTGTATAAAATCAGCAGTCGATAAACTTTCAGTCCGCTGTGTACTATGAGTTTTGCTTGCTGATGCCCATTTCTTTTGCCCCCACCTAGATCTGAAACTTAGTAAGATGGGATATCACACCTTATGTCTCTGCATCCTCTTGAGTGGCATGTGCACATGAAGCTCAGTCGTATTTGGTGCTTAATCGATTGGGTGATTTTTTCAAATACATCCCCATTCATCTTCCCTCCCTCTCTCCAAGACCTTCAGACTAAGTGGGGCTGAAATGAGTGGCTCTCAGGTTCTCTGTGACTCCCAGGACATGGGACCAATACCAGGTGGTGATCCGTGGGTCCTGGGGCCAGTGGGTGTCCACCTTGCTGTGAAAGACAGTTTCCTTCTCACCTTGTCCTCAAAGCCAGAAAGCAAAACACCGCCTCTCATACAAGCCAGAGCAGAGGGCCCATTCTGGCCATGGTGAGTCTGCCCACCCTGACTGACTGGGGTCCAGGGGCCCCGGCCCTTAGAGGGCAGGCCTGGATCAGCCAAGAGTGACGAGAAGCACTGGCCCTTAGGACTCACATGGAGAACCCATTATCTTCCACCGATAAGGGCCCCAAGGACCTGGACTCTGAATCAAAGGCCCGGAAGCCTGGGTATCTGTGAAACCCGGATCTGCAGCGGTGCCTTGGCTGAACTTTGCTCAGTAAATACCCAGCTGATAAGTCCCGTGCCTGACTCGGCACCAGACTTCCCCTAGGGGCCACGCACCAGCAGGGCCTGGTCTTGATGCCCAGCAGGCAGACAGGAGCTAGAGACAGGCAGCAGGACAGGAGTGAGATCATTTTGGGGTCATGAATGCCAGCCCCACAGGCTGGACTTCAGACTCCTCACTGGGGTTCCTCACCAAGCCACATAGCAGAATCAACTAGGGGGGTGAGGCAAGACAGATGACCAAGCTCTGTCCCCCAGGAGTCTGATCCTGGCGGTCTTGTGTGGGCATCAAAGTACATTATATTAAGATCTCGCTGCTTGATTGGAGGATCTGCTGAGATTAGAGCCACTCATCATTCATCACTGATTTAACTCAACAATCCGTCTACAATATCCTGCTAAGAGTTTAACTGTCTTCATTGTCACTTCTTTGGTCCTATCAGGGATCTCTACTGGTGTTCAGTCTTTGCCATATCCCTAGTGTGAGGAACATAGCACTGAGCCAGACAAATGCAAGGGGAGCCAGCCTGCCAGCTGTGCCCCCAGACCACCTGTGTACCTTCATCTTTGTTCTAAGCAGCAGTGACAATACATCAGGGCTCTTACTTACTGGTAGGAAGTGCTCACATGCATCTAATGTCTCTGGTCTTAATTTTTTCATCTGTAAGATAATACCTCCTCTCACACACAACTGTTGTGAAGATTCACTGAAATAATAAATGGCGCGCTCCCAAGGCCAAACCTACCACATGGTTTGTCAGGACATCAGGAGGCTCTCTCTCCTACTGAACCTGCCTTACAGTAGCAAGCACCATATTTCTGTACATTACCTTCCATTGAAACTCACAACTCATGGTCCATTGACAGCTTTCTCCCCTACAAAATGAGGATCGGAAGGGCAAGCGTGTCGTAATGTGATCTGCGAGTTACACGCAAACCACAGAGTAAGCATTTAGTCTGTGAAAGTTAATATCATCATTAGCTTTAGCAGCTCTCTCCAACATCTCAAAACACACAGAAGGTACCCCAAATGCTTCAGCTATTTTTCAAAGGCACGCCTTTTTTTTTTTTAACCATAACCTGCCTTCAGGGAGCATCACTCCTGTATAAGTTCCATTTGCCACTTCCCCTTGTGCTGGGTGGTGCTCTGTGTTGATCACAGAGCCCTGGTGTGGCCATGACAGAGAGCAGAGGCACCTGCCCCTCTCACACCCTCGGCTCACTCTGTCTCCCAGTCACCCACAGCTACGTCAGCTTTGTTCACAGCCATATTGCTCAATCAGTGCTTGTCATCAGTTAGGTTCCCAGCTATTTCTTACGCACAAAGTGCAGTCTACCATATTGTGCACTTGGAAGAAAAAAAGTGGGTTTTGGGGTTGTTTGGGGTCTGAATACTGTGGTACTCTCTTAATCCAGCTGGGGGACCAGAAAGGCTCAGTCCTGCATGCACACATTTCACACCAGATCAAAGGCTGGTGTGTGGTTCATCCTCCCCCTAGCACCCCTGATTTGCATGTGCATTTGTAAGGAAGGGCCCAGAGGCCTCCCTGGCCCACTCTCTCCCAGGAGGTGGACAAGGCATTCACTTACCTAGAAAAGAACTAGCCAGGCACTTCCAGGATCTGCTCAAGTGGGGGCTTCCTGCCTCCTATTGTTTTAAATCAATGAACAAAGAGGGCTTGGGGGAGGTGCCATGCGCAGAGGGTATCACCTCTAGTGTCTGGGCTTCCTTGGAACTCACAGTGTCAACAGGTGTGTCCTGGCATGAAAGACTGTATGCAGAGCAATCTCTAAGTTCCCGCCTCCTCTTACTGCCATCACAAAACTCCCAAGGGGCTCCTGACTGCCCATCCATGTGTCTACAACCAGCTGTCAGGCATCCTGTAACTGACTCCAAGGAACAGGCCAGAGTGAGGGTGTTTCCCAATGTGTCTTTGCCAAGTGTCTGTGAAATATCAGAAAACAGAGCCTCGGGACAATTCCCAAAGGAGCCCAACAGCCAAATGTATTTGCAAGCTGAAAACAGTAAACGTTTCTAAGCCCACAGCAAGCTCTGTACTCCTCTCTGCCACAAGCATGAGAACTGAGCTTGCAAGCACAAATCTGAGAGAAAACAAGATTGTTTGAAATCATGAGTGCCTCACCTTGGGCTTCTGGATCCCTGAAGTGAACAAACGTTAGCACAAGTAGATTAAAGTGTATTAAAAAAAATTCTGAAATAGGTACAGGCATTAGACACAGCAAGCAGTTAAGAAACCACTTGGGATGCACACAATCCCGATTCCAGCTTCCTGTTAGTGCACACCTTAGGAGGCAGCAGGTGATGGCGGGTCCCTGCCACCCATGTGGGATACTAGGATAGAATTCGCAGCACCTGGATTTGGCATGGCCCAATCCCAGTTATTGCAGGCATTCGCAGGGTGAACCAGCAGTCAAGAGACTCTCTCTCTTTCTCTCCCTCTGTCTCTCTCTCCTCCCCCTCCCTCTCTTTCTCTCTGCTTTTCAAGTAAGCTAATCCTAAAAAACTAAAATTGCCAAAATAATTTCCCAAAGTAATATTATAGAAAAGACTATCCAAAGAAGATAAAACAAGAGTTAAAAATAATAACACATCAGCAGAGAAGACGAAAGCCCGGGAACGGCACTGTGGCGCAGCAGGTTAGTCCTCTGCCTGCGGCGCCGACATCCCATATGGGTGCCGGTTCTAGTCCCAGCTGCTCCACTTCCGATCCAGCTTTCTGCTATGGCCTGGGAAAGCAGTGGAACATGGCCCAAGTCCTTGGGCCCCTGCACCCATGTGGGAGACTTAGAAGAAGCTCCTGGCTCATGGCTTTGGATCGGCTCAGCTCCGGCCATTGTGTCCATCTGGGGAGTGAACCAGCAGATGGAAGACCTCTCTCTCTCTCTCTCTCTCTCTCTCTCTCTCTGCCTCTGCCTCTCTGTAATTCCACCTTTTGAATAAGTAAATAAATCTTAAAAAAAAAAAAAGATGAAAGCCCAATTTCCCAAGGCAGAGTTGACCAGAGATTTTAATAACGCCCAGACGACATTGCAGCTGCAGCTAGCACGCCAGCAATGCGAGCAGCTTTCTCACCATGTGTCCTGTGGTCTGAGGGCCTTTTACGCCTCCCGCAGGCACCCAAATGTCCATCCCTGGGGAAAACCTTTCCACCTAAACATGAGCTCCTCGTCCCTCACTGGAAATCTTTTTCAGGCTAAGGAATCCAACCCAGTGCCTTTTCAGACCCCCTGGAAGTCAGCCACCAATAGGGTTTGAAGGGAAAAACAAAAAACTACTCATACACGGAAAAAAAGAGAAGAAAAGAAAAAAACCATGAATTTGTCCCCTATCAGGGCTGACCTTTTCCAAAATGAGCAATGAGCAAAAACTTTAAGGTATGAGAAGTCAGCAGAGGACATTTCAGTTCCCCCTGCCGCACAGCCGGACATGCTCCACATCACAAAAATAAAGAGCGCTACAGCCGCTGTTCCGCCGCAGAGCGCCGAGCACGACACCCGCGAGCCGCCAGGCCACCCCAGACCGCACCCCGGCAGCTAGTGGGCATTTGTGCTCGCTTTGCATCGAGCTGAGGGAACACAGGATTCTACCGATTTAAATACACAAGGTACTCCAGGTCTTTGATGAAGGTATAA